GAGGAGGGAGCAGAGAGTAGGGAGCAGGGAAGAGGAGGACCCCCCGCCTCACGTTCCTGGGTCAAGCCTTGCGCCCGTTTCGGCACACCCCTCACACGTTGCGTGGCCCCATAGCATAGGGAGCTCCACCTAGAGCCCCAATGACTCAATTCGCACGGGGACCCCCGCCCATTCTGGCACGCCCCTCGCACGTTTCGACGCCCCATAGGATCGCATATCCTCCTCGTCCCCTCGTCGACCTCCTCTGTAGCCGATTTGGCTCAGACTGGCAGGGCGGCACCTGCATGCTGCATCCGAGACTCGAACCGCGGCCGAAGAAGCGACCAGCCAATTCAGCGAGACATTCGGCCTCCAATACCTGGGGGCCGGGGCAGGGAGAAGCGCCAGCGACCTTCGACGACTCCGACAACGATTGGGGCATGCTGCATCCGAGACTCGAACCGCGGCCGAAGAAGCGGCCAGCCGATTCAGCGAGACATTCGGCCTCCAATACCTGGGGGCCGGGGCAGGGAGAAGCGCCAGCGACCTTCGACGACTCCGACGACGATTGGGGCGAGTGGAGCTCGGCAGGCAAGGCACGCGTGAGGAGCCCGGCACCGAAGGACCGCACGCCGCCCATTCATCGGGCGGAGTCGGGTCGCGCGCCCCGCGCGCCGCCCGCGGGCTCAAGACGTGCACCCCGCGCGCCGCCCGATCATCGCGAGGGCTCAGGTGGCGCGCCTGACCCGTCCATCGCGAGGGCGATAGACGACTTGGCGACGGCTCTGCGCGTTTTTCACGAGGGCTTGGCGGCTGCGGCACCTCCGGGCAGCTCGGCGGCCGCAGGAGACGCTGCTGCTGCAGGAGACGCTGCTGCTGCGGGCTGGCGCGAAGGCTCGGCGGTTGCTGCTGCAGCAGACGCTGCTGCCGAGGGCAGGCGCGACAGCCATCGCGGCCCACGGCCGCGCCCCCGGGCCATGAACGAGGAGCCCGAGCCGCAGCAGGGGCAGCCCGGAGGAGCTGCGGCAGGAGACGAGGGCAAGCGCGAGGCCTCGGCGGTTGCCCCAGCAAGAGACGCTGATGCTGAGGGCGGGCGCGGAGGCTCAGCAATTGCAGATGCCGGAAACACCGCGCAGGATTTTGGGCAGGCGGTTGCTGCTGCAGGAGACGATGCCGCTCGGGGCGAGCTCGGGGGCTCGGCGGCCGCGGGGGCGCGGGGCGCTGCCTCCGGCGGCTCGAACGGCTTCAGAGAAGCGCCTCCGGGGCTGCTGCGACGGCTCCGGGAGTTGCAACGGCAACGCATGCGGAACCTAGAGAACGCGGAAACCAAACTTCTTGGTCAACGACGACGACTCCCTGAGCGGCGCATTGTCGGCAACACGTACTACCATGACTTCTCCGACTGTAACCGCCGCCTGGGGACGTAGAGTGCATCGTTCAATGGCCGAAGATTCGAGGTCGGGATCCTACGCGGGATGTTGGGTCAGAACGCTGCGACCCCAGGTATTACGCCAACACTTACGACGACGACGCCGAGGATGTCGCAATGCCGCATTGCGACGAATCTGCCGCAGCGCCACCGCCGAATCGGACTACGACAGGTTCAACGCTCTCGGACTACGACAGGTTCAACGAGATCGGGGCAAGCGCGGCCCAACTTTTCGAACGCGGAGAAGTCGACCCCAACAAGATCCAGCTTCGTGAGGGGCCGCTCCGCATGATGCCGCCAGAGTGTTTCTGGCATTTCGCTCGGCTCTACTCTTACATACCTCCTGTGCCGGCTGAAGAAGATTCTGGGGCCTGAGGAATGCGAATGCATCCTCCTAGCCCCTGCACCTCCCCATCCTCTTCTCTTCCTTGTCCTCCTCCCCCTCCACCTCCTCATCCTCTCCCCCTCCTGCATTCTCGTCGCGCTGGTGATTGGAGACACCGGCTTGCAAAGGGCGTATAGGTCGGTGGCCGGGGTTGCCCCGCGATCGGCTGTGTCGGCCCAGTCTTTCAGTGACCTCAGCTAAGCTGCGGGCGTCATCTGGTCTGCCCTGAAATCGGCTTCGGCGGCTCTTGCTAATCTACTTCTCCCCTCCTCGACTTCCATACGTCAGCAATTGGAGCGAGGAAGGAGGAGGTCGGAGAGGACTGGAGGAGAAGGATAGGTCGGAGAGAATGGAGGAGGTCAGGTTGAGCAAGCGCAGCACATCGCGGAGTCTGGCTCGCTGGCGCGCGCCCTCGGCGCGGCAAGAAGTGCGAACATGTCATTGCCCCCCATATACTCTTCAATCTCTCATGCCCCATGCCATCCCCCTTAATATTCAGCCCAGCTCAGCTCGCGCCTCCTGGATTCCCGATCTTCGTCTCGCTGCTAGATCTCCCCAGGCCCTCGAGCGGAACGAGCCTCCGCGATCTCGTTGGCGCCGCCGCCGATGAAACGGCCTCCTGGCGGGCCATCAGATTTTTCATCTCGAGAACGCTCTTGTTGATCTCAGTGCAGACCTTCTTGAGCTCGTCAGCGACGGGCGCGCCCTCCTAACAATTGTGGCCCCGTGGCGCCTCCAAGAAGGCCCCGAAGCGCCTCCGTAACAGTTGTGGTTCAAGCTGCAGGTTCACCAACCCATTCCATATCTTTTACAAGCGCATTCCATATCCAGTGTCGCATTAGGTCTGATTCCCCAGATGGTCGCTGCGAGTGAATTGGCCAACGATGCCGCAGAGAACGCGATCACTAAGTCGACTCGTGGGGAGCAGTTTGAAATTGGCCAGCTTTACAACGCCCGCACTGGCGATATCATCCCAAGCATCTCCCTTTGGCGCCTCGACGACATCAAAGCGGGGCAGGAGGTCGTTTCATGCCCAGACACGACCTTCGACGTCACCACCAGCCTGAAGGACCTCCGGAAACACCACAACCTCGACGCCGAAGGCTCCGTGGAGATCGACTTCGGCATCTGCGCGCTCAGCGGGTCCGCCCAGCACCTGAGAAACACGCAGCACCACGAGCACGAAGCCCGCGTGGACGTGTCCTGCACCGTTGTCAAGCATAGAAGGTACATGCCAATGGAGCTCTTGAAAAACATGAAATTTCCAAGTTTCTTCGACGACGCTCGCGTCACGCATGTTGTCGCGGAGGTTTACGAGGGGGGGACGGGCAACATCACCTTCACTAAAAAGTGTAGCTCTAAGGAGGATCAGACCCGGATTTCTGGCGCACTGGCTGGAAAACTCAAGGCTTTCATACCCATTTCGGGCAAGCTGAGCATGGATTGGGAGGAGGGCGAGGAAGAAGACTTCGAGGGCACCGATATCAGTGTCCGCGGCCCAATCAAGGAAACCGTCGGCACCATCGAGGACGCGGCTCGGGTCGGCAAGGAGTTGCCCACAAGGTTGAGTGACCTGAACAATTCGCTCAAGATGGTGCTCCTCCCCCTGTCCTTCGTCGACTCCGAGGCCCGCCGCGTCGTGACGCGGCTCGACGCGCGCACCATGGAGGACGTATCTGCTGCTCTGATGACTGCGGAGGGCGTTCACTTGTCTGCTGAGTCCTTGTGCGTCGCAGTGAATGCGTTCCCATGTGTAGAGACCCAGCGCAGAAACTTCGCCACCGCCTTTAATTCCTGCATCATTACCTTCCGCACTGCCGTGCGTAACTTGGCGCCGAAGCTCAGGGACGGGGATAGCAGCACCACCGACAAGGACACCCTTGAGCTCCAGCACGCCGTGGATCGCATGACGCGCCAGACGAAGCTTGCCATTAAGTACGTGGAGCTGAAGAATCAGGAGACCGCTGTGCTGAATTCCAATGTCAATTTCCTGTTGGAGACCGGCTTTGCCAACAACATGGACCCCGTGGCCAAGGTCCAGCCCGCCATCGGCAGCAGCAAGCCGCGCATCTTGCTCTCCCTGGCCGGAAAAGACATCAACAACCCGTGCCACAAATTGGAGGCATCGTTGACATGCGACGCCGTCGCCGTCGACGGCGATTCGGAGGAGGAGGAGGAAGAGTGGTTCCATCGGAGCTCCACTGCGTCTCTGCTGCAGAAATAGCCTCAGCCCCCCTCCTCCCCTTCCAATTCCACTCCGCCCCTCCTCCCTCCTCCTACCTCCCACTCCCCCCCCTCCCTCCTCCCTCTTCGTGTTCTGCAGCTGCCGCATGCAAATCCTGAAGATCAGGTTTGCGAACGCGATTTCGGCCGCGTGCAGCAGCACTGCGCCACGTCGCTTATACGAACATCTGTGCATCGCATCAGCAGTTGGAGCGAGGAAGGGGCGGTCGGAGAGGAGAAGGATAGGTCGGAGAGAGAATGGGGGAGGTCAGATTGAGCAAGCCCAGCACATCGCGGAGTCTGGCTCGCTGGCGCGCGCCCTCGGCGCGGCAAGAAGTGTGAACATGTCATTGCCCCCCATATACTCTTCAATCTCTCATGCCCCATGCATCAGCAATTGGAGCGAGGAAGGAGAAGGTCGGAGAGGAAGGGGCGGTCGGAGAGGACTGGAGGAGAAGGATAGGTCGGAGAGAATGGAGGAGATCAGATTGAGCAAGCGCAGCACATCGCGGAGTCTGGCTCGCTGGCGCGCGCCCTCGGCGCAGCAAGAAGTGCGAACATGTCATTGCCCCCCATATACTCTTCAATCTCTCATGCCCCATGCCATCCCCCTTAATATTCAGCCCAGCTCAGCTCGCGCCTCCTGGATTCCCGATCTTCGTTCGTCTCGCTGCTAGATCTCCCCAAGCCCTCGCGCGGAACGAGCCTCCGCGATCTCGTTGGCGCCGCCGCCGATGAAACGGCCTCCTGGCGGGCCATCAGATTTTTCATCTCGAGAACGCTCTTGTTGATATCAGTGCAGACCTTCTTGAGCTCGTCAGCGACGGGCGCACCCTGCTAAGAATTGTGGCCCCGTGGCGCCTCCAAGAAGGCCCCGAAGCGCCTCCGTAACAGTTGTGGTTCAAGCTGCAGGTTCACCAACCCATTCCATATCTTTTACAAGCGCATTCCATATCCAGTGTCGCATTAGGTCTGATTCCCCAGATGGTCGCTGCGAGTGAATTGGCCAGCGATGCCGCAGAGAACGTGATCACTAAGTCGACTCGTGGGGAACAGGTTGAAATTGGCCAGCTTTACAACGCCCGCACTGGCGGGATCATCCCAAGCATCTCCCTTTGGCGCCTCGACGACATCAAAAAGGGGCAGGAGGTCGTTCCATGCCCAGACACGACCTTCGACTTCACCACCAGCATGAAGGACCTCCGGAAGCACCACAACCTCGACGCCGAAGGCTCCGTGGAGATCGACTTCGGCATCTTCGCGCTCAGCGGGTCCGCCCAGTACCTGAAGAACACGCAGCACCACGAGCACGAAGCCCGCGTGGACGTGTCCTGCACCGTTGTCAAGCATAGAAGGTACATGCCAATGGAGCTTTTGAAAAAACATGAAATTTCAAATTTTGCTCGACGACCCTCGCATTACGCATGTTGTCGCGGAGGTTTACGAGGGAGCGACGGGCAACATCACCTTCACTAAAAAGTGTAGCTCTAAGGAGGATCAGACCCGGATTTCTGGCGCACTGGCTGGAAAACTCAAGGCTTTCATACCCATTTCGGGCAAGCTGAGCATGGATTGGGAGGAGGGCGAGGAAGAAGACTTCGAGGGCACCGATATCAGTGTCCGCGGCGCCATCACGGAAACCGTCGGCACCATCGAGGACGCGGCTCGGGTCGGCAAGGAGTTGCCCACAAGGTTGAGTGACCTGAACAATTCGCTCAAGATGGTGCTCCTCCCCCTGTCCTTCGTCGACTCCGAGGCCCGCCGCGTCGTGACGCGGCTCGACGCGCGCACCATGGAGGACGTATCTGCTGCTCTGAAGACTGCGGAGGGCGTTCACTTGTCTGCTGAGTCCTTGTGCGTCGCAGTGAATGCGTTCCCATGTGTAGAGACCCAGCGCAGAAACTTCGCCACCGCCTTTAATTCCTGCATCATTACCTTCCGCACTGCCGTGCGTAACTTGGCGCCGAAGCTCAGGGACGGGGATAGCAGCACCACAGACAAGGACACCTTTGAGCTCCAGCACGCCGTGGATCGCATGACGCGCCAGACGAAGCCTGCCATTAAGTACGTGGAGCTGAAGAATCAGGAGACCGCTGTGCTGAGTTCATATGTCAATTTCCTGTTGGAGACCGGCTTTGCCAACTACATGGACCCCGTGGCCAAGGTCCAGCCCGCCATCGGCAGCAGCAAGCCGCGCATCTTGCTCTCCCTGGCCGGAAAGGACATCAACAACCCGTGCCACAAATTGGAAACATCGCTGACATGCGACGCCGTCGCCGTCGACGGCGATTCGGAGGAGGAGGAGGAAGAGTGGTTCCATCGGAGCTCCACTGCGTCTCTGCTGCAGAAATCCTTCGCCGACGTCGTGGCGCTCCAGGTGGACAACAAGGCGGCCAGCTTCGACGCTGAGTATGGGGTTGGGATCGTGAACAAGGGAATCCCCTTCTGGTCGACGGACGAGAAGATGAAAAAGACAGAGGTCGGCGACTTGGTGCTCTTCTTGGATGGCAGAGTCCGCATAATCACCAAGCTCTTCCCCGGCCCCCCAGAGAACGTCAAGCTGCGGTGCAACGAGCAGACCATGCATGTCCAGTGGGAGTGCCTCGAGCAGCAGAACTCGATGCCCCCCCGCAGCTTTCGCGTGCTCTGGCGGCCCCGCCCAAACGCCGACTTGGACACCTTCGATCAGATCGTCAACGAATACGCGGAGTTCGAGTGGAGGGATGCGCCTGCGGGAGATCCTTACGAGTGCGTACCGGGGGCGCAGGGGGGCGCTTACCGCTGCGAACTCGGCCCCCTGGATCCAAATACGGACTTCGAGGTGCGCGTGCAGACGTGCTCCGACATTGGCTTCTCGGCGCGCTCCCCTCCGAACGTCAAGCGGACGGGCAAGCTGCCCAGTGCCGCCAGGGACATAATCGCTTTTTACCATGAGAATAAGGCCCGGCTCGAGTCGACCGGGGCCGGGGGATGGACTGACAAGGTCGGCGGCAAGAAGCCTTGGGAGTCTACGGAGGATTCGCTCTTCCTTGGCTCGTGTACCGTTGCAAGGAGACCGTGCGAGAGCGGCGAGTTCGCAGGAAAACTGGCTGCCATCATGACCGACGTTGCGTCCGACTTCAAGCCCGAGATCACTCTGGGCCCCGAGCAGGAGGCGCGGGCGCTCGTCCTCATGTTTGCTGGCCCCACGGGGGCCGGGAAATCAACGGAGATCAACGCGTTCGTCTCGTTCTTGTTGGGCGGCGACCTCGCGGACACCCACCGCATCATGCTGATCGATGACCGCGCTGCCGATCCGACGCAATCCGTCACCCAGCACATCACCGTGTACCGATTGCGGCCCATCGGGCCCCGATTCCAGGGCCATACGCTGTACATTGTGGACACGCCTGGCTATGGCGATTGCAGGGGGCACGAGGCGGACAACTTCATTACCGCCGCCATGGCAGAGTTGTTCAAGATGATCGAGCACGTCAACGCCGTAGTCTTCACCTGCAAGGCGAACGAGGGTAAGAGCAGCCCGAGCATGGTTGCCGTGGCAACGCACATCTTCCAGCTCTTCAGCAAGGATGTGCAGGGGTGCCTCCGTGCCGTTCTCACGCACGCTGATGCGGGAGCACCCCAGGCCGTCGCCAATCTCAAAGCGCTTGGTTGGCCCGTGGACCAAGGCTACGCTCAAGTAAACAACTCTGCTTTCCGAGCCCAGTCCACAACCGACGCCAACGTGCGCGACTGGTGGAAAATGTCAATGTCGGGCCAGAAGCGCGCGTTGGACATGTTGCTGCGCATGGGGCCGGTGTCTACACGCAAGAGCGCGCAGGTAACCACGCAACGCATGACGCTGGAGGAACAGTGCGAGCTCGCTGAGAAGAAGATCTTCCGCACGGCCCTGGAGACACAGAGCCCCCTCGCCAACCTGCGGGCGATCGCAGAGGCGGCGGGCGCCAGCCCGGGCGAAAAGGTGAGGGTCAGCACTGTCATCGTCAAGGAAGAGCCGGTTGCTGATGGGAAAAAGACTACCCTCTGCTTAAAATGCCACGTAACTTGCCACGAAATTTGCGCTTTCGATGACGGCGAGAAGCATCAATGCATCGCAATGGACAAGAATGGGCATTGTACGATATGCCCTAACAAATGCCGCTATTCCGAGCACAGGAACGCTATGTTCATCTTGCGATCGGAGACGCAGTGGGAGGAAGTCGTGCCTGAGGATTTGATCAATCGCTGGAACAAGAACAACAACTCCATCGAGGGCGCCGCGCTCGGCGCCATGGACAAGTACCTTGAGTTGCAGGACGAGCTCACCGACGACATCAGGGCCCTGGCCGCGCTCACGGATGAGCTTCACCAGACAGCTCTCTTGCACGACCCCGAGCGGTTCCTCAAATATTTGGACACGCTCATCGCGTCCGCTAAGGCGCGGGGCGCCAGCAGCGAGCAGTTGCAGGCGCTCATGTCCGCCAAGAATACAATGAAGATCGCCGCTCAAGCGGCGTCAGCGGAGGGCTACACGAATGCGGAGTCCGAGCTGCTCGCGAAGGTCACGAGGCACGTCCGCGGCGAGATGAAAAGGCGCACTCAGATGGGGCCCCTGGCGCGCGCCAAGGAGGAGGAACAGCCCTGCGATATCTACAACAAGATCTACAAGAGCCTCCCCGCGCCGATTCGAGAGAAAGCCCCCGTGCCGCCTGCGTGTCCCGACGGCCTGGCGTCATGGGTGCTTAGACAAGGGCCCCGACGTGGCCGGAGAACTTGAAGGCGATCGTCAAACTCATGGACGTCATTCTCCAGACCGGCTGCGTAATGGGCACTGTGACAGCGGACTGAACTTCGGCCGTCAGCCGACCTCCGCGCATCAGAACCTCATGAATGGTTGGGATCTCGTGGATGGCTGATACTTCTGAGCGCCTCTTGGGCGCCTTTTGGGATTTAATGAAATCCTCTTGGGGCCTCTTGAGCTCAGTATCGGGCCTGTTGGAAGTTTTCTGGGAGCCTCTTGGGGGTTTTTAAGAGCCTCTTGAGGCTTCTTGGAAGCCTCTTGGGGCTTCTTGAGGCCCCAGGAGATTATTAGAGGGCTCTCTAATCTCCAGGGGCCCCCAGTGGATCCCAAAGGGCACCCAAAAAGAGTCACGCAGGCGCATATACTTTGTCCCTCTAAGGGAACCTGTTTCAGAGAGTTCCCGAGATTTTCCGAATCCCCAAAGCGCTCACCAGGAATCCAAGAAGGCCCAATGAGGGCCCCCAGTAGATCCCAAAAGCATCCAAAAAGAGATCAACTCTTGCATATACTTTATGCCTCTTTGGGGGGGGGCTCTCTTGGAGATCTCTCAGACCTTCCTGGGATCCTGTCGGAGCCCTCGAACCCTGCTAAAGGGAACTCCCGAGACTTTCCGAACAGAATACCCGAGGAGCCGCAAAGGAAATCCAAGAAGGCCCCACGAGGTTCACCAGAAGCCACAAAAGACACCGCAAAAAAAAAAAAAAAAAAAAAAAAAAAAAAAAAAAAAAAAAAAAAAAAAAAAAAAAAAAAAAAAAAAAAAAAAAAAAAAAAAAAAAAAAAAAAACAACACTCGCGCAGGGTCATATTCAGGGTGCTCTCGCGCCATCCCAGAGGCAGCCGCGGTGCCACTGCGCACTCGCGCTCCATTAGCTCATAATCAGCACCATGCATCGTCCGAGGGAGACGGAGCGCTTCCGGGGTTGCCTCGAGTTACGCCCTGGCTCTCTTATATCCTTTCATATACATATGTTGCACTGCCACGTGATTTAGGCGTTGCGCCCGTGAGTGGGGGCGCTGCCTCGCGAGGAGCGGATAGTTGATAGGTCCGCGCCCGGGGTTGCCCCGCGGGCAGCCGCGGGCACAGTCGAAACACATATTTGCCCATCTCTCCTGCCTCGTATCATTGAAAACCCTCGTTCCTATCTACTTCTGCATGTGTTGTAGTCTGCCTTTATCTGCATGTAAGACGCAAGAGGGAGGAGTGAAAAGGGCGGAGACAGGAGGGGTGAGAGAATATAAGGGGAGGAGGAGGATGACGAGGCGGATGAAGATGAAGGGGTCGAGCGGGAGGGCCAGAGATGACGCCGATACGACGACGACGACGGACGACCATCGGGGGAGGAGGGAGGGAGGGGGGGCGAGGGAGGGGACGGTGCGCAGACAGAGAGAGAGAGAGAGAGAGAGAGAGAGAGAGAGAGAGAGAGAGAGAGAGAGAGAGAGAGAGAGAGAGAGAGAGAGAGAGAGAGAGAGAGAGAGAGAGAGAGAGAGAGAGAGAGAGAGAGAGAGAGAGAGAGAGAGAGAGGAGAGAGAGAGAGAGAGAGAGCAGAGAGAGAGAGAGAGAGAGGAGAGAGAGAGAGAGAGAGAGAGAGAGAGAGAGAGAGAGAGAGAGAGAGAGAGAGTCGCCTGTATAGCCTAGTCATTCCTCCACCACGGGGGCGACTGCACACATCCCCCAGCGTGCGAGCATGCAAAGAACTCTTGGAAGCGCTTTTGATGGCCCTGGGGCCCGGAAATCGTTCGGGTCCATCGATTTCGACCCCGAACGTCGTTGTCGACGACCCTGAATGCCCGAAAACGGATTCCCTGGAAGATGAACCTCCGGAAGGCCCGATCCGCGCATGGCACCCGCTCTAGGAGGAGGAGGAGGAGGAGGAGAAGGAGGCGGAGGACGAGCAGGGTGAGGAGGAGGAAGAGGAGGAGGAAGAGGAGGAGGAGGAGGAGGAGGAGGACGATTTCTCTGGGCCCCAGCTCGACGGACCAGGTCCCAAGGGCGGAATCCCCGCAGGCTCCGACGACTCGACTCGACGAAACGACGACGACCCACAAAAGCAAGAGACGATGTCTACGACCGCCGACGACCGAAACATCATCGAAAACAACGGCAAAACACTTTCCAGGGACTTTCCGATAAACGAGGGCTTGGAGTTTCCATGGGTTGTCGATTCAGACGTGTCCGGGCGCGTTCTTGGGGATCTGCGACTGGCAAGATCATCGCACCGGACATCCTCTTGGCTCAAGCAAAAGGACCAGTTGACGCTCGATCAGTGATTGTCCGCCCTGTCCGAGAGGGATGCCTGCGTCAGGGACTCCGGTTCATGCGTTCGCAGGGAAGTATGTTCTCACGGACAACGACGCACCAGTAGATCTCAATCTGGCCGAGAGGCATTGGATCATTCGGACATCCCTGGTAATGAGTATGACGTGCATGATCAGTCGCGAGCTGCGCAACATGCTTCATGCGCGGCGTCTCTTCACTATCAAGACCAGAGAGACGGATCGACGCTTGAGAGAGCGCCAGATGAGTTGCCGCCATCCCATGGTGGAGATCTCATCAGGGTCCAACAAGCGCGGCAAGTGGTGGACATGCGAGAGATGCGGGCAGCGGATCGCATACAGGGACCAGCGGCAGCTGAAAGCCCTGGGTCCTCTACCAAAGTCCGTCAGCCTGATTCTCAACTGCACCATCACCGAGGTGATCCCCGATCCCAGGCCGCAATCAACGTGCAAAAACAGTCTAATCAAACCAAACCCGGTGCGCGGGGAGAATCGGGGGGACTACAGCCGCGTGATCGCCGACCCGTCCAAGGAGGAGGAGACGCCCATGGAGGAGGAGCAGCTTCCACTAACCCAGCCTCGCCTATTAAGGCGCGCGGCGGAGGGCCCGGCTCAGCACAACCAGAGGGGAGAGAAGAAGAGCCGTTCAGCGCTGATGAACGAGCAGATCGAGCAGATCAACACGCGGAAGGCCCAGCAGCAGAACACCGACCAGATGATGATGGAGAATCGCCAGACGATGGAGTGCATGATGAGTGTAATGCAGCAACAGGGGCAAGCCATTCAGAACATGAACAAGTCCAAGTGGGAGGTGATCCAGATGGCCAGTCCGCCCGGAACGTCGGGCTCATCTCAGCCACGAGACAGCCAGAAGGAGGAGAAGCCCCTGCCCCCAGACAACCTCGAGTGAGAGATTTGAAATCAGCGAGATCCCTTCCAGACAATATAGTCGAGCAAGTGCAGCGTTTTTCCCCAGCAGTTCCCCACGGCGGCCTATCATTGATGCTGTTCGTGCTCCCCCAAGTTCCTTCCGCCCCGTGCCCTCAGTGCGGTTCCGGGGCTGCCCCGAGTTCCGTCGGCGTTGGCTTGCGAGCTGCTGTACGTTTCTACCCCAAGACGACCCGGAAGAACGGAGTAGAATGAATGGCCCCTCTGCTGCTGTAGCCGTGCTGATGGGACGGTTCTGGGGTTGCCACGAAATCCGCCTCGTCGGCGTTTCTTTGGGAGGCACTTCTCATTTGTTTTCCAGAGCGCTCGGGAAAAACGGAGTAGAGATGAGAGACCCCTCTGCTGCTGTAACCGCGCTGATGCAACGGCTCCAGGGCTGCCCCGAGATCCGCCTCATCGGCGTTTCTTTGGGAGGCGCTTCTCATTTATATCCCAGAGCTCCCGGGAAAAAACGGATTAGAGGTGGGTGGCCCCTCGCCCCGCTGGCCCAATCAGAACAAAGACGCTCGAGAAAAAATTAACACATCTTCCGATATCCTCGTCGTCGAGAAGAGCGACGTGCATGGAGAGGTTGAGCTCGACGAGGACAGCTGGCCGATAGATGTCGACATGCCCGAAGACTCTCAGCCGCCTGCCTAGTCGCGCAGTTGGTGCCAGGCCATTACCATAGGCGAGGCCGCAGCTCAAAGCCACCCAAGCGCTCCAGATGTAGAACTCAGCTTATAGTGAATTATATAATGTAGGTTGAGGGTTAACAAAAAGAACAAACACTGTATTCAAAATCATCCTACATCTCTTGTGAACCCACCCTTTAAACAGTGAAGTTCAACGCGCATGCGCTGACCTTCCGCTGACAAGATGACCCCATCCTCCTCCTCCTCCTCCTCCAGGCCCGCTCTCCTGTCACCCTGATCCTCCATGGGGAGGGGGTACTCCAATGATCGGGGAGATTCTCAGGGGATGGAAACCGATCACCCCAGCCCCGCGAACGTTGGCCCACCGAGGCCGCGCGATCATGACGAAAAGTCGACTCCCAGGAACCCGCGAAAGTGCGAACAGTTTCGCAGTTCGCAGCCCCGAGAATCCTGTCTTCAACGCGGGGGGGAAAGGAGGAGGGCCACCATCGTCGCCATTCGGGGTCAGGCGGGGTGCATCCCGCGCGCCAGCCGCCACCCGGCCCCCGCCCCCTGCGAGCGCGCGGCGCGCCAGCCGCCACCCGGCAATGACAGGGGAGCACAAGTATACAGACGATGAAAAAATAGAATGGTTTCTCAAAGATGGGCCAGGAGAGTCGACGCATCTCAAGTGGCGCATGGACGATGCCGACTACAAAATCAAAGAGGTGACGCAGCTCTGGCGGCGCATGGACAAGCTCGAATATGCGGCGACCAGTGATGGAGGTAAGTACCACGAGGCCTGCGCACATTATGTCTTCCTGTGCAAGGAGTTTGATAAAATCAAGGGCGAGAACACGGCAATGGCCGCAAACATGGGAAAAATGGACATGATTGCACTAAATTTCCAGAGCGAAATAAATAACATGCATACGAATTATTCGGCAGTGACTGTTCATGTACAACTAATCGACAGAATAAACAAACACAACCAGAACCAATATCACAAGCATATCGAGTTCCTTGAGCAAAGGATCAAGGAGCAGGACCAGAGGATCAAGCAGCTGGAGAAGATGATCAATATCAAGGGTGACGACGTGT